AGGAGCGTGTACTCACACTTAAGTTGCTCTTATTAACTGTGACTGTTCTTTGGGAGACTCACACTCATGCACTCAGATGTGTTTTAACTTCCCTACATTTTTCTCCTTCTCTTAATTCTTGTGCTTAAGTTCATATTAAAATCAATTTATTCAAATACCAGTTCTGTTGGTAAACTGAAAATTTAATGCCAATAAAAAACAGTGAGAAAGAGTTGCAATCTTTGCCACTTGTCCATTTACTCTGTAGTATAGTTACTTACTAAGATAATAATGTCTGAATTTGTTGATATGATTTCTTTTAGGTAGTGTTACTAGTTAAACCTGGTGATTGAAATTTCATTCTAAAGCTACTTGTTTCTTGCTGAAGCTAGATTATCTCCTCCTTTCCAAGTGATATGAATATTAAACCTAAATATTATTGTACTTTAACTATTTAGCTTTTGAGACTCTGTTTTAAAAGTATTGTAATCTTATGAATATAATATTTCTTTAAATATAATATTGCAATCTTTATGAGTAAATGTCTGTAAAAACCTAACCCAAGCTATCTGTGGCCAACATGTAGAGTGTGAGTCTCCAACTCCTATGTATTACAGTAGTTAATGTGGAAATCTTGATATGTGCTATTGGAATTAGATCAGATTATGTCTATCCTGTGCATGGTGGATGTTCATGATTGCAATATCACAATATATGCCGCAAGGGAAATGAAAAAGCATGTTAGCTGCAGTCCTGTAGGGTAGCCCTCCCTGCATTCCATGTCTTCCTGCAGTGTACCATAAATTATTTCCTCGAGATCTTTACACACTGGGAGGCTCATTACCAGAATTGAGTGCTTAGCTGTGGGTCAGCAAAGAAGCACTCTGGTATTTAGGAGTGTGTGGGGATCATGTGCAGCATCTGCCTGCATGCTACCAGAGTCCAGATGGTCCTGTTACTATAGCAAACATGAGCACTCAAGGTCGCAAATCTCTCCCCTTTTCTGTTTTCATTAACCCCACTTTCTCTTCTATAAAATTTAGAAACAGAGCAGTAATAAACTCACAGTCGAAGCATAAATACATATATAAGGCTGAAAAGATTCTTCTCATGGAAAGCTGCCATAGTTGAGCCATCTAATATAACAAACCAAGCTGTTGGCTGACTATTGCTCACTGTGTAGTTCAGGCCACATGTGCTTGTACACAGTCACCACCCTGGATCCGGCATATTATCATTTATTTCATTGTGCTATAAAGTGTGCAGAGATGCAGAGGATGAGAAGCACCAAGGCGCTCTGGTGCAATTCAATTTAGTCAAATATCAGAGATCCACACTGTGTAAATGGAACATGAGTAAAGAATACGATCCAACTGCCTACTGGTGTAATTGACTCAACAGAGCCAGCCTGTGTCATTAGTCCTATAAACAGTTGCATTTACAACAATAAAACTGAAAAGCATGGAAATTAAAAGCTGTTAGGATTTTCTCTGGTGTGCATTTATCTTTGAAGAAGTGTGTACACTCTCTAAACAATTTTTGTAATCTCTTTGGTAAACTGGTATCAGAGCAGCCTGTGTCAGCAATGCCTTATACATCAGATGGTGATCAAAGAGGAAGGTGAAATGAGTGGCGGGTACCATGCCATGATGTGCTAACTTAATTGTCCAGTGCATGTATTCAGTGTTAATTGAATGGCTTGGCACCCCATCTCTGAGCAGTAATCTAGGGTTATATCTGGCGAATGGAGGTTATTTGGAGGGATGCTGTCGACAAAATATTCATTGCTGTGTACAGTTGTGGAGTTTTACTAAATGTGAGCTTCAAAGTTGAATCTGAGGTGTCTTATTTTGTCTGTATTTTTCAAATTGAAATTTTCATGCATGCATATATTATGTTTTGATCAAATCTACCTATCATTTATCCACCTTTCTGTCCCCCATCTTCTCACAACTTTTCATTCCAAACTTCACTTTATTCCCCCTCCCTGTCAAACCCCAATGAGTCTACTTACTAATGTCTGAATGTACATGGATGTAGGTTCACCCACTGAGGAAAGCATAGTCTCTTAATGGGACACATTCCTTACTCTCCATCCCCAAGAATCCTTGAATTGCCAACAACTTCTCAGCTATGGATAGGACTACATAAGACCCCTTCCCATCCATATTATGCTTATGTCTGCCTTTATCCTATTCAGGTCTTATGCCTATTGTTACAGCCACTGTGGGTCCATCTGTGCAACCAGTGATCTTGTCATATCTAGCAAATAAAGCGTAAGCAAAGATGTTCACCTCTTACCTCCAGTTCTTCACTGTTTTCCGTCCCAGCCCCTGTAAATGTGCTTGAACCCTGGGATATAGGGATGTGATATATGCCCATCTAGACAATAACATTTCACATTCTCCCATTTTCTTCACATTGCCCAGCTGTGGCTCTCTCTATCAGTCACCAAGTACTTTATAAGGAAGTATCTCTAATGAAGGATGAGTGATACACCAATTTATGGGCATAAAATACAAATTTAGGGTCAGTTAAATACCCGTACATTTAGCAGATTAAGAGTAATAGGTTCCCTTCTAAGATCACAGGATTTTGTTCCAGTTAACAGTTCCAGGCATGAGTTCTGTCTTGTAGTAAAGTTTTAATAGTGTTTCTCTTCAGTGTGTATACTGAATGATGAACAAATGCCCTCAGTTATGTTTGGCTGATTAGTGGAACCCTGTCCCATAAGACATCATTTTGTAAAATTGGTTGTTTTTCACTAGTCCTACTCCATTCAACTAAAATGAAGCTTAAACATGCCCTTTGTTCATTCTTGAGAAACTTTATTGTTGTTCCTTTTCTTGCAAGTTCTCCATAGGCCTTTAACCAAAAAGCAAAGAGTAAATTAACAAAGGAGAAAACAGACTCCAAAATTTGTTTTGATTTTCTTACCGAGATTGTCCTACATACTGATTTTAGGTAAATTCCTTAATATTTCTATTTAAAAATATCAGGTTTGACAAAAGTTGTCTCCATTGAGGAGCCACTACTCATAGAGAAGTTGAATTTCAAAGTTTGCATAGCAATAGATCGTGTACTTTATGTGAATTTTTCATAAAGACTCGCCAGAGATTAATTGTGTTGACTAAAATTCTTGATATTTAAGGACTCTATGGGGTTGGCAGTATGGGAATCACACAGAACCAGCCAAGAATTTCTCAGGACCCAGACCGAGGTCTTCAGTTTGGAAAAACACATTGATGGAAGGAGTACTCATAAAATCATTACACTTGATTCTTTACAATTTCACAGCATTCCTAAAGGAGAAATGACCTTAATGTCACCTGGCTTTTCATTATATCATTACAACCAACCCTTCTCTACTAACCATTTGAAGAACTGAATTTCCAGAAAAAGAAAGAAAGCACAAGTTTATATGATAAAAAATGTCATTATTAAAAAACTGACATTGAGGATGCTACATATTTTGCCTTTATGGGACTTTTTATCCATATTTCCAGAAACAAAATTTACATGAATATCAATAAGATATCTATTTAAAGCAGCAGTTAGTACAATATTATCTCTCTTTTCTAATTACATTAAATATGTGTAGACTAGTACTACTATAATTATTAAGTTATCATAAGATAATATATAAAAATCTCATGCATTATTTTTGAAACCTATAGCATAAATTCACACTGTTTTTCAAATCATAATATTGTAAACATAAAAGAAATTGTGGCATATATATTTATATCACAACTTTCATTATTCATGAATCTGTTTGTGGACACTTAATTGTTCCTGGCTCTAATGAAAAAAGCAGTAATAGGAATGAGGATGCAAGCATTTCTTCAACAGGATATGGAATAAAATATCTGTGTCATATGTTAGTTTCATTTTTAAATTCTGAGAAATCTCTAAGCTGATTTCCACAATGACTGTATTAATTTTTACCTCTACCAACAGTAAATAAGGTTCCTTTCTCTCCATATCCTCTCCAACATATATGTCATCTATTTTGATCATAGCCAATCTGTTAGATTTCCCTAATTTCTAGCAATATTGAACATCAGAAAACACTGTCCATGATTTCTAAGAAATTGGGAATCAATCTACCTCAAGACCCAGCGATTCCTCTCTTGGGCATTTTTCAAAGGATCCTCAATCATATCATAAGCACTTTTGCTGAACAATGTTCATAGCAGCATTTTTCATAATAGCTAGAACCTGGAAAAATAGTAGATGCTCCTCAACTGAAGAAAGGATAGGGAAAATGTGGTACATTTACAGAATGGAGCACTACTCAACAGTAAAAATAGATGACATCTTGAAATTTTCAGGCAAATGGATAGAATTAGAAAAAAATAACATTCTAAGTGAGATAACATTCTGAGTCAGAAAGACAAATAGGGTATGTATTCACTCATAAGTGAATATCAGATGTAAAGCAAAGGATAATCAGACAAAAGTCCACATCTCCAGAGAAGTGAGGTAACAAGGAGGACCCTAAGAGGGAAGAGAAACTGGATGATATCTACAGGGGCTGTGGGTGATAAGAGAGAGGGGAGAGGAGGACAAAAATAGGAGGGAACTAGATGACCTAGGCACGGAGGAATGCAGTGGAAGAGCAACGAAAAAGATACATTAATAGAGAGAGCTATAACATGTAGTTTTCCCCACCATCTGCCTGGGCCCTGCCGTGTTGTCTGAACCCCTAAATAACACACAAGACACTATATTAATTATAAGCTGTTGGCCATTTGCTATTGTTTCTCATTGTCTAGCTCTGACTTAATGATTGACCCATAATCATCAATATGTATTTTTATAAGGACTTATCTTTTTGAGAACGCCAGACTTGCATTCTGTTCTCTGGGGATCACATGGTAACACCTCAGTTCACTACATTTCCCAGAATCCTCCTAGACTCCTATTATGATTTATGTTGCTTCCCTATTCGCCAACAGTGCTTTATTGACACGTACAGGGCTTCCCCATCAGAGAGCCTCTATGGGCTTAGGAAAAAACATGGTGCTAGGGTAATTCCCAAGAATCCACAGGGAGGATCCGGTTAAGACTCCTAACAATAGTGAGAAGATGCCTCAACTGGACTAACCCTTGAATCAGATTGGTGAATATCCCAAGTATCATTATAGAACTTGCATCTAATAATTGATGGAACCAGATGCAGAGATCCACAACCAAGAACCAGGCCGAGCTCTGGGAATCCAAATGAAGAGAGGCAGGAGGGAACACACGAATGAGGGAGGTCAAGTCCATGATGGAGAAATCTACAGAGACAGCTGATCCAAGTTTGTGGAAACTCATACACTCTAGACCTACAACTGAGGAGACTACAGGGGACCAATCTAGGTACCCTGTATGTGAGAGACACTTGTGAAGCTTGGAATATCAGTGGAGCCCCTAGCAGTAGGACCATTATACAAACTTGGTACATGAGCTAGCTTGTTGGAGTTCATTCCCTGTGGTGGGATGCCATCCTCAATCTTAATTCATGGCAGAGGGACCAGGCCCTGCCACGAGGAAGAAGGGACTGGGGGTGGGCGGGGGGAAGGTGAGGGAGGGTGGAAGGAGGCAAAAGGGGTAGGAGGAGGCAAGTGGGAGTAGGAGGGAGAACTGTAGTTGGAATATAAAATGAAAACAAAAAATAAAAAATGGAAAAGAAAGAATTTGAAAACAACTATAAAAAATACCCCACTGGCCATTTGTGCTTCTCTTTTGGAAAATGTCTTTTCAGTTTCTTCACTCACTTGTTGATTGGCAGTTTTATATCCTTGCAAGAAAAATCAATGGAGTTAGAATGTATAATACTGAGTAAGGTCTCACAATCTCAGAAAGAAATAAACAAATTTCTGTTTCATATGTGAAATCTAAAAGTATGTATGCATATGTACATGTATATGCATACAAGTGTTTATGTGTGTGCAGTATAACAAAAAAAGATAAATATGAGTGGATGTGGAAGAAAAGAATTTAGGTAATAGACAAAAGTTATGAATAATGATATAAAGAGATAGATGTTATAAAGCTATTCATTTATACTTCTAATTCTGTTGTAGACTTTTTGGTTTCAGTGGCAATATACAAAATAAATTCATTTTTTGTAACATGCAAAATATATTGGATACTGCAGATATTGTGAAATGTCACATCTTCTGCTTTGAATTCCAATTCAACTGCATATAAATTCATTAAATAGTGTAGACTTTGGTTGTGATTAATTATTTATTTATTTTATTAACTATTTACTTGTAATAAACATAAACATGTCAGCAATTAGATTAAATACAAAGGGTGTAAACATCTCATTAAAAGAGAAACAATATGTGATTGTATTAGAAACCAAGGCCTGACTATGTGCTGACTATAAGAATCACATCATCTAAATATAAACTCAAAAATAGTTTAAAATTGATGAATGAAAAATGAATATTATGTTAAAAATGTTATGAAAGAAAGCAGAAATGATTACATTGACATCAGCCCAAACAGGGAAAAGCAGAATCATCCCATAACAGCAATAAAGTCATTTATCAACAGAATATAATCTAAAACTTCTGTGCATCTTAACTGTAGATGATAATACCAGGTGCATTAAACTAATTTTAGAAAAGCATGTATCATATCTCTTTGAACCTGGGTTCCTAGGTGTTTACAAATAAACATATAGATATACAATCTTATATGCATGTGTATACATATCAAAATCATGCCAAAATAGGAGTGAAGTTTTGTATGAGCAAAGGAAAAGTCTGTGGGGTAATGTTTGAATTAATAATTCGAGGGCCCAGTCCACTGTGGATGCTGCTATCCCTGGGAAGGTGGCTTTGGGATGCATAGAAAACACAAGCAGAACACAGGGTGAGGAATGAGTCAGCAAACAGTATTATTACATGGTTTTTCCTCTGCCCCTGTTCAAGCTCCAGTCCTGACTTCCCTCTGTGGTGACTTTGAATGGGACATGCAAGCCTATAAGTTTCTTTCTCTCAAGTGGCTTTTGGTCATGGTGTTTATCACAGCAACAGAAAAATCAACCTAGGCTATCTCTTAATAGATCCTGGTGACAAAATCCTACTGCTGAAGGAAATGAATGCTCTGAGTTCCTCTTCTGCTCATGGAAACTTTTAAATTGCTTCTTTTTGAGTAATATGAAAGTGCTAATAGTCCCCATGAAAGATGCATTTTAGATCTGAGTTCCCAAAATATGCAGGACATATATGAAACTACCTGGATTGTATGTTAATTGGAATTTATAACTGATTAGCATTTCTCCATGAGTTATCTAATACTTAGAACACATTTCTGGGGATGGAGTTTCTTTTTCAATAGTACAGCTGAATTATCCCCAAATAAATACACAGAGACTTACATTAACTATAATCTGTTTGGATGGTGGCTCAGACTTCTTATTGGCTGGCTCTCTTTTAGTTATTAACTCATTACTATTAAAGTATGTATTTCCAGGAATCTGTGACTCACCCATAATCTAGAATGTTACTCCTTTGGCCGTATTGCATCTCCTTGGAGGCTTCTCCATCTGCATCCTTTCCCCAGAATTCTCCTCATCTGGCAGGCCCTCCTATAAGTCCTGCCTGGCTACTGGACAATCAGTATTTTATTTATAAACTAATAAGAGAAACATATATACAGAAGGACATCCTCCATCATATTTCTTTGTTATTTTCGAAACCAACACATAAACTCAGTCAATAAACAGTATTATGACTATATTCATAATTGCAAACTTTTAATGCCAAACAAATTTGTATTTCATTCCATGATACATTTTCCAGTAAATTTTATTATCAAAAACTGTGTAAGTAAATAAAGTTACTGTTTTCATTAATATTCATCATATATTTTTAAAGGTAAATTTACTTATTTTGTGTCACATGTACATTGCGCATATGACAGTGGTCGTGTGTAAATAAACAGAAAATTATCAGGAGTTAGTTCTATCTTTCATCTCTAGGGATTTAATCCAGGTCACACCATTAGGCTGATGGGAAGTATCTTTACAAATGATCAGGTATTTTTATTGCATTTTTCTTGTTTTAATTTATCTTATATTTTATCAAAGTATAGTTATATCAATCTGCCACCTCATCTTTCCAGCCCCTGCCATCTTCCTCACACTGAAATTGATGGTCTCGTTTGCTTTATTTACTGTTATTCTATGCAAATATAAATGAATAAATATATAAAGACATCCTGATGATTTTCTTTAGGGTTGTTTGCATGTGTGTGCTTTGGCGACTGAAACCTTGTTTTGGGGGGGTTTCTATTGCTGTGAAGAAATACCATGACTACAGCAACTTTTATAGATAAAATCATTTAATTGGGTCTGGCTTACAGTTCCAGAGGTTCAGTACATTGTCATCACGACAAGAAACATGGCATCAATCAGACAGGTATGGTGCTGAAGAAGGAACTGAGAGCTCTACATCTTGATCCACAAGCAACAGGAAGTAAACTGGGCATAACTTGAGCATATGAGAAAAAAGCACAATCCCACAGTGATATACATCCTCAAACAAGGCCACACCTCCTAATAGTGACACTCCTTATGGGCTAACATTAAACACATGAGTCTATGAGGGACCATTTCAATTGAAACAACCACACCTTGATAGTGGATAACCCATTTGTGGCTCATCACCAATAAATACTAGTCCTCCCACTCTCAGCATTCTTTAATTGCTTATTCAATGTAGGGCCCCATGAGATTTCCTCATCCACACTGACATGTGTACTGGTTAGTTTTATATCAACTTGCCATAGACTAGAGTCATTTTAGAGGAAGCAACTCCAATTGAGAAATGCCTCCTAAAGACTGGGCTGTAGGCAAATCTGTCAGGCATTTTCTTAATTAGTCATTAATGGGTGGGGAGCTCATCATGGATGAGATCATGCCAGAGTTGGTGGTTCTAAGTTTTATAAGAAAGCAGATCTGAGGAAGCCATGTGGAGCTCCATAACCTTTGCATCAGCTCCTGCCTCCAGATCCCTGCCCTGTTTGAGTTCCTGCCAACTTCTTTCTACGTTGAACTGTGATTTACAAGTGTAAGCCAAATAGATCCTTTCCTTCCTAGGTTGTTTTGGTCATGGTGTCTCATCATAGAAATAGTAACTCTAAACAGAACAGCTTGCCAACTTGTATTGTCAATGTTCAGGCCTTGTTTGGGCAAACATATTGTTGGGTATAGCTTTCCTGTCATATTTAGAAGATACAATATTGGTGTAGAGTTCTTGGTCGTCTGGTTCTTACAAGGTTTCTGCCCATCTTCTTTTCCTAATCTGTAGGTGTAGATTTATTGTAGATATATCAGTTGGAGCTTGGCATGTCCAGTTGTCCTCAATTTTCATCAGCTGCAGCTTTGTGAAATGGCCTCCATATGTTTCAAAATGAAGCATCTTTGATGTGAGGTAACTTTTTAAAGGATGTTTCATTGATGGAACTCTGAAAAGTTTTTAAAAGTTGTATTTCATTTTTAACAGAGTTTTCTGTAGTTTACTACTTATTTGCAAGCTGTCTTAGAGGAACATATTACAATTCCTATCTATTTGTTTATGAAACTAAACAGAATTTTTCTCTAGATTTTTCAGCAATTTGAATCTGCTCTGAATTCATATGAGTTTTCCTGTATTTAGTTTGCACTTAGCATCTTGGATCTAGAAAACATAGAACTTTCAATACAATGACAGACACAAGGTCATTCTGATCTCTTGGACCTCCTTTTTACTGGTTCTGATGTGTCTTAATCTCATTTTCTTTGCTATGATAAAACACCTTGATAAAAGAAACTTGGGGAGAAAGGATTTAATTTGAAGTTTAATATTGCAGTTCATCATAACAAGAGTTGACTATGTCTCATATATCACACAGGACTCAAAGCAATGAGAACACATTTTTGCGCTCAGTTCTTTTTCTTCACTCTTACGTAATTGAAAATATTCTGCCTAGGGAATGATAAACCTGGTGGGGGCACCTCTTCCTGTTTAAATTTGGGTTATCAAGAAAATCCCTCACACACAAAACAGATCTACCTAGTCTTTATCGTAATTCATTTGAACTTCATTCCCAGGTGATTCTAGGTTGTTTCTAGTTGACAATGAACATTAGCCAACCATCACACCAATCATGTGAATTAAACTGCTTGGAGCTGGCTCAAAGACTTCTGCTCCTTTAAAAACTATTTTTGTTTTCTTGTGTATTTTTGCACTGTTTATGTCATGTTAATCATCCCTTCTGTGACATCTAATCTATTGTTGACACCATTTTGTATATATTTAACTGAACTCTGGTACTTTTTGATCTCTACAAGTTTGATTTGGGTCATTTTATTATTTTATTTAACCTTTTGAGCAGATGGAATACAGGTGTGATAGTTGTCTTGTGGCATTGTGTTCAATTGGACATCTGTATCAGTACTTTATCAGTCTCAGTTGGCTGGTTTTTCTGATCATTGTTGTAATATTCCTGACTCTTAATGTGATCAGGAAACATGGCTTAACTGCCAAATACTGTGAACCTTCACAGATGTTTGATAGCTTTGTATTCTTATAAAATCCTTGAGCTTTATTCTGGAATAGTATTATGTGGAAATGATTTGACACTTTGGTCCTCAATCTTTATTCATGGGGTCAGAGTTTTGTCAGTATGTAGCTAATTATTTCCGATGATGTATATAGATTTGTAGAAGAAATTGCCAATGCTAAATGGCACTACTAAAAACAGGTATTATTCTATCCTTACCTACATACCAGGGATTGTTTTTTCTTATATCTATAGATGATAATTTTCATGGATTTATGAGCATATATATTTCCTTGGAAATTATGAAAGGATGCCTTTCTAAAACTGCCCTGAAAATTTGAAAAAATTATTAGCCTCTTGTATTGTAAGAATATCATTACTAGTAACAAAAATACTTGAGAAAACTATTCAGTGAAATAAATAATATTAGTCATCTGAGGATCTGGATATTCTAATGGTTATCTTAGGCATATATAATATAAACAAATTAATGTATAATTATATTCCAACTTATGATGATTCAGAGGAAATGTTTCATTATACAAACTTTAAATCATCCTGTATATTTATTCCTTGAGAATTTCTTACATTTATGACATATGTTCACATCCATTCCCCATTTATCCATTCAGACTTTTCTTGATCTCACCCAACATGTCTTTCTCCTAGTTTATATCCTCTTTTTTTATTTAAAACAGTCCATTAAGTCCAGTTAAGGTATTTCATATGGGTTTGGAGCTCTCCACTGCTGCATGGGTATGCTACTTTTAACCATTGGCCACACTTCTATAGAGGACTGATTTTTCCCTTTTTCATCAGTCAACAATTCATCAGTTACACATGAATACTTGAGAGCCTCTCTCACATCATCTATGCTGGAATTTGGCTTGATGAAATAATTCTTGCTTGATGTGGTGGCTAATGACACAACAAATTTACTGAATTTTCTACTAAAATTATAGAAAGATCAAAAAATGAAACCCCTCTTAGAAAAAAGAGGATGAACAATCCAGCATGCTAGGAAATAGCCAATAATTAGGAGAAAACGGTATTTTAGACATGATTGTGTACCTGGGAAGAGCATAGTACTTAAGAAATATTTTGAAACTTCCAAATGATGAATAAGCAAGTTTTCTACTTCACTGGCCTCCTGCATGGGGTCAAGCACTAATACAAAATATAAAATTTTATCATTTGAAACCTAAATGTTCTTTTGCTGACAAGTGGGCAAAGAAAAATGTGACATAAATACAAAATGGAATACTATTCAGCCGTAAATAAATGAAATTTGGTGGTAAATAGATTGAACTAGAAGTTAGAATACTGAGTGAAGTAACTGAGACACAGAAAGACAAACACTACATATTTTCTCTTTTGTGAATATTGGTACCAAATCATCAAACGTGAGTATATACTCTGGAGTAACCACAGGAACCAGAAAATTAAAAGTGACTGTAGGAAATGGGGACAAAAGGAGCTCTGGAGAATGGAATATTAGCACAAGTGTTACAAAGGGGACAGTGGGGGAGGGGTTTATCTGGGGAGGAGGAACAACACACACAGAATGGGGTGGAGCATGGATAAATAATGATAAGGGTTTATGAGAAGCCATAGAAACTCATTATTTCATGTTTACTTAAATTGTGAGTGTGTGTGCATATATGTGCACTCCTGCACAAATGCATGTGCACAAATGTGTATCTGTGTATGCGTGCCAACAGATATTTCTAGAATTTAAAGGAAGTTACTGCTCTTTGGATGACAATGTGTCCTATAAAAGCCATAGATTATCTAACAACATCCTAGTACCAGTAATGGGAAACCTCCTTTCAAGTTGGTCAAACTCCCAAAACAAATTTACTATTGCCAGTTCCCTTGCTTGCCTCTGACAAATTGAAGGTAAGACCTTATTGCTGGAGGCACCATATATGCAGACAGAAGACTGGGAAATCTAGCTGAAACTGACATTGAAGCCTCCTTCTTTAAAGACTAGCTCTGAAGTGTGTTGTGCAATAGCCAAGGGAGGAAAGTCGTCAGCACTTCTATTCGACTGTAAAGTCTGTGAACCACAATGACTAGAACTTCAAGATATACTTAAAAGAGCAATAATAACATGTTATCCTGGGAGAAACAGTTTTCTAAGTAAACATAAAGCCTATTTAGTAGGAGGGAATTCAAGTATAGCGCTGCAAACCTGGCTTACCACCTGTGACTGGTGCGACCATGGATTTTAGAGGGAAGCTTACTACTGACACTTCCTTAAACCACTATAATTTATATTTATTTTTATTTTAACATAATTTTCATTGATTCTTTTGGAATTTCACATTATACATCCCAATTCCAGTCATTGGCCAGTCCCTCTATATCTGTCCTTCACCCTTATAGTATCACTGAAAGAAAGCTAAAAAGGAAATATTAAAATGAGATAAAAAATACAAATAAGAATATTAGCTAAAAAACCAAGACAAATAGCAAGCAGGCAAACAAACAAAACTGTTCCTCTGCCTTTCTCACCTCTCTGTTGCCTCTTCAATCATTTTAATGACATTGTGATCAAATTTGTGTCTGCCACACAGAATATCCTTTGTCCATATAGCTTTATTAGCAGATTTTCATTGCATAGAACCATTGGTTTGGTTTGAAGCTTCTGAACCATCAATACTGTACCATCACAGAAAGTCCTCTTAGATATCTTTTTCTTGCCAGAGTCATGGAGTTCCTGCTGCTATGGATATGTTGGTTAAGTTCCTTCCTACACTCCAGCAAGTCATAGATGACATGGATGTTGAAGAGCAACAACTCAAAGCCCAGAATGTGTGTCTACGTAGTGTCTGGGCTGTTCTGACTGGGCCACTGGGACCACCTTCCTCGGGTGAGTTGGATTTAGACCTCTTGCAGCCATGGTAAAGTGCAGGAGAGCCAACTCTCCTATTAGAGGCAGAGTCAGCGGTCATTAGGGTCTGTTATCTCAGGGCTAAATAAGGGTGAGGGTCAGCTTTCTGGTGAGGAAGTGCAGCTCTCCACAGAAAAGTGAGGAGCAGAGTTAGATCACCATAGCCCTCATTCTTCAATATGTTTCAACATATGGTTCACATGGGCCCCTGTGGTAACATGGACATCAGACATCAACACAGACCCCAGCTGCAGTAGAACCATGAACCTAGACATGGCCAGCAATAGCAACTTGGGCCCAGATGTTATTATAAACCCTGGTAGCAGTACAGGTATCTCATATTGGTATAGGTAAAGCAGTAGCATGTTTCCAGACTTTCACATGGCCCAGGTGGCTGTCCAGACCCTGGACAGTTGGACTGTCTTCTAAGGTAACAGACCCTGTGTGTGGCAAGGCCACAGGACTAGACATGATCTCCAGCCACAGTTTAGGCCCCAGGTGACAGTCCAGGCCACTTAGGTCAGCATGGTCCCAGCAGCAGCATGTCCCTTAGACCCCAACTTAACCATAATTGGTGGCCCAGAAGCCAGGCATTTTTGCGGCCTTTGGTGGAAACTCAGTCCATGGACACCAATGGAGAACCCTTGCTTAAAGGTGGCCCTTGAACAACAGCATGGCCCCAGGTAGCAGTCCAGAGCTCAGACATCCTCAAGGCCTTCGATGATACAGGAGCCATGGACATCAACACAAATTGGCTGTCATGGGCCCATAAGTGTCCCTTGGCAACAGTCCAGGAATAGACATCACCATGGCCTTAGTAGCTAACAGGTCACCCACATTAGCCTATTCCTCACCTCCTTTGGCTCTTCAGACCTGTCTGTCTCCAGAGGACATGAACCATTCTGCCTCTCTCTCCCATACCCCATCATATATTTGCTTACCATGATGGTGCTGACTGTCTGGCACAGGGCAGGCCTATGGTGGGCGTGTGTGTCCATCTTTGCCTGCGTAGTCCTCCTGGTGCTTAACAGGCTCATGGATTCTTCTCTCTGCCGAGGGCCATTTGCCCTGAGTGTATAGTTTCCAAGTGAATTCTAAATACTTAACCTTATGTCAACAGATCCGTGTAGCTCTCATACATCATCAAAGAAATTTATTTTTGCATGTAACATAGACCATTACTGAAAACCACAACTATCAAAAATGCAGAGAGCAACCGATCATAGGTACCTTGACCCAAATGATACATCTACAACACAATCCCTACATCTAATACTAGACACGTTGTGAAAGTCTAGACAAGATTGTGAAATTCTAGATATGACATTGAAGTTTCACTGACGAAATCTCAATAATGTGGTTGCCCTAATAAGACCTTAAACATCGAAGAAAAGTCACCCCTCCATGGAGAACTACAAACAAATAATGAATTCTGCAAGAGTGAAATTCAGTCTCCTCCAGGGACAGCACTACTGATAAGTTAATCAGTTCCAAATGATCTGCACTAAAGTGTTCATATATGCAAATGATCAATACTAAATGCACAAAAAAGTAGTGGTTAAAAAATGGAGACCACAAATTTGAGAAACAATGGGGCAACACACTCAGAAGAGGTTAGGGAGAATATGGAAAAAACTGATGAAAACACAGTACTCACAGGTGAAATTCTTAAAAAATACATTTTAAAACATACTGTCACACATTAAGAGATAGAGACATATGAAGATTTGACAGTGGCCATGGGTTTATTTATTGGGGGGAGGATGCTAAGACAGTGTTTCTCTGTGATTTTGGAGGTTGTCCTAGAACTAGGTCTTGTAGACCAGGTTGGTTTCAAACTCACAGAGATCAGCCTGCATCTGCCTTCCTAGTGCTTGGATTAAAGGCATGTGCCACCACTGCCTGACCACAGGTGTATCTTGCTCATACAACAAATGATGTTTGTTACAGACTGAAGTGGCTTTTATGTGCATTGTTGCTGTCTTTGTTAATTAATATTCTTATCACCCTTAATAATTGGATAATTCAATGAAAGTCTTAAATAGGTTTTGTTACCCTGTTTTTAAAGCCTATCACTAAATTGTGAAGCGGTGTGCAAGTAACATCTAAAACCAGGCATGGTAGGTTTTAGCCTCAGTTCTTACAGGCTGATAGACATACCTCATGATTACCAAAATAAAGTAGGAGAGAAACTGTGCAAAACTAACTCTATGAGAAAGGAAATTACTTCAGCTGCCAGGAGACAGCTTACTTTAAATATAACAGAATGAATTCAAACCTGGAGTTCTGCACTGTGAGCCTTGGCTTACACGAAGACATGTTCTTTAACACCTTTATAAATACTGTTAATACCAAGAGAAGAAAATAATTGAGTCTCAGATAAGTGCTGTGGAGATGCAACCTAGGGTGATCTTATATCCAGTCGGTCTGTTAGGAAAGTATTCAGAGCTGACCCTTAGCTCCCACTGCCCAGGCCCTGCTCACTCCCACATACTGTGTTGAAATGCAGAGATGTTGCAGGTGCTAGACTTAATTCTCAGAAGAAATCCTATTTAGAAAAGAAAATACATAAATAAATACGTTAATGAACAGAAGGAGGTGGGGAAGTAAAAACAAATGCCCGGACTGTTTCCATCTGATACACATAGAGGCACTGGTCACGAATTGCCAATCCTGTCTGCCTTCAAAAGCTCCAGTTGACATGGAAGAATGGAGATTCTTCCCAGACACTTTGGGTTGCCAGCTGCAAAGTGTCGCTTGAACAGCAATTAGACCCATGCTGTGGACCATCATAAGGACCAGAGCCTGGGAGCCGATGCCACTAACATCAGGATTCTCAGTCTCAGGGTCCTTCGGGTGCAACTTGCCAGGGCACAAGGTGTTACAGGGCTGGAACCCATTCCCGGGAACTGACCTCCCCTCTGTTGAAGTGGATTTGTTCTGTCACGTGCAGTGAGGACCTCTTCATGTGTCAGGAGCACCCTGTAACCTTTGTGCTAATTCCCATGACATCCTCTGTGTCTCCCTGTAGGATTCTGTGAGCAGATCTTTCGAAGAGCAGGGAGAACAAAAGATTCTTCGGCACATCTGAAGACGGCTGGTTGAGTGTGCCTGAATGTAGGGTCATGGTTTGAAAAAGGCCAAGAACCCCCTACCTTGCACTAAAAGGTTTTCAATACACTGAGACACATTTTTTTTTCTAATGTGCTCCTATAAGCCATGTTAGTCCCAGTTCATTTGTGTATTCAGTTCAATTGCATGTGAATCAATTGGTTCCCAATGGAGTGAATGCAAAACAATGCTGAATTGTCATTTCACTCACTGATTTTCTTTTCCTTTCAAAAGTATAAATTAGCCATCTTGGACCCAAACTTTGTTGTTGACCAGAACATTTCAGATGGGAAAAGAGTACTACTACAATTAGTAAATGACAAACACTATAACACACACATAAACCCACTGAGTGTTAAGCATTCTCTGCAGATTCCTTTATCTACTTCTGATGAAAGACAATTACAATAATATAGGAGTCATGAGAACATGGGATGACAGGGGAAAGAAGGCATTTTCTTTATCCCTAAGCTCAAGCATATTGTAAACTCCTGCAACAACTGTTTAATTATGTTCTTAGCAATACTCTAAAAGAAACAAATGAAGCTCAATTTTTGTAATGTGTGTGTATGTGTGAGTGTGTGTGTGTCTGTGTGAGTGTGTATATGTATGTATGTTGTTTTATTGCACCAGAGACTAAGGATATATTTGAATTGGTTTCCTGTTGTGTCTTTATATGATACAACCACAAGAAAAATCCATGGAAAATGTATAATGTATAGCCATACATTTTAATTGGGAAACATTAAATTTTTGGCCCCATTTTAGCACCAGTGACAAACACCTATTCTCATGGGAGATGCTGAAACTGAAAATGGTAAACACTGAAAATCTAAAAATAGTTCTCATTATAAAATCATTGTAATAACATTTGAACAATTTTTGAATCTTAAACATTATATTACATTTCAATAATCAATACAATACAATTAACTATTACTTATGTTTCATTGATAACCAATGGGGGTAAAAATAGATTATTATTAATGAGTATTCATTAGAATCATGTTCAATTTAAGTAATTTGGCCTCATTTTGTTCATTTCAAACATATAGGAAATGAATTAGTCTAATGGCACAAATACTAATTGGCTGAGTACTTTCTGCTTGCCCCATCTATATTAGGTACAGCTCTTGCCAATACTAATGCATGAAAAGCAATGCTCTATAGGTCTTCTTAGCATCATCTGATATGTTATAAAAATCACACTGATTCAGCAACTTAAATAAGAAGGTTCAATGCCAAAAAGTAGGGAGTGTGGTCCTTAATGTTGGTCCAATGCCACAAAATAAATCTTGTTCATTGTATTTCATAGTAATATTAAGACTTCATAAATCAATGTTTAAAAGATTTAATCATGTACTACAGCAACACAATACTCTCTATAAAGGAACTTTATGTTTGCCTTTTTCTTAGTAAGTTCAATCTTTTTCTTAGTAGTCACAATGGTGTGGAGATTCAAACTCCTCAAATTTGTTTCCCTTGTGAAATCTGTAGTATACCTCTGAGAATCTTCAAGGTAGGACAGCTGATAATTGTGTCATCACAGTGCATATTACAATGACTACTCTGGTCTGCTATCCCATTGGCAGTTGACTCTAACAAATGTAATCCCCATCTGGATTATGTGTTGGGACAGTGTTTATCCATTTTGAGTTTGTAGCATAGTTCATCAAAATGAATATTACTCTTTTTGCCTACTAATTAATGTTGCTATCAAATGATTTTCCAATTATTTTGTGTTAGGCAAATGCTGAGATTAGATTTGTCAAACACTAGCCACTTTAATTCTAAAATTCATACGTACTTTAAAAAATATTCAATCCATGTGCCTCTGATATGATCACATATAACTTCACAAGTTACTATGTGACAGGAATTATATTCCAGTACTAAAGCCTTCTATGTACAATTTCAGAAGTGTTTTCCATTTTAAAATGCCATGGCCCAAGGAAATGAATTAAAATCTATAGGAGACCTCAAACTTGGCTGTATCACCCCAGTTACTGATTAGACTTATTAAAATTGGAATTGGAATTGGCACCACATGCTGTGCATTTTTCAAATATATTTAAATCCCTCATGCATCATTTTTAAATATAAAAATCTTCATAAGAATAGGAATGATATTGTGTCCTTATAAAATCAACAGAGCTGTAGTCTTTTTAAGTAACCCATTCTCAGCAAATTTAAGCCTAGTCAAAACAACAAGATAGGCCATATAGAAGATTTGTTGACTCCAGGTCTGAATCCAGTTTGTTCCTAAAGCAAAGTGACTCTTGCTTGTGAGGGCACAGTTAACAACTTGGTTTTCAGGAAGTACCTTCCATTGGCTGCAGATTTCTTAAATGGACATGTTAAACTAACTGCAGTGCTATTCAAACTGCAAGAAAACAATTAATTTCCAGCCTCACCAGTCCAATGACAGCATTATGTCCTCCGAAGACGAGAAAGGAATCTTAGAGAATATGTGATATATTAGAGAGTGAATGATTATTCACAGCCGTGAGGCCAGTCCATGTTTCAATAAGACAAATTACTCTGGAGTGTTCCAGTGGCAACCAATGATAACTCATGATCCTGAGACAGAGTGGGTGAAAATTACAGAGAATTGATGAAAATCAGAAGCCAGAGGACAAATGGCTCTAAAGAGAAGAATATGTGATTATTATTTCCTAAGCCTTCAGTCTGATAGAGACTGAATCTATTTCCTTTGAAAAATCTATAGCACCGTAGACAGTATATGTCAGCATGAAAAAGGCTGCATTTGTTTTTTTGCCAATGGCAAATGATTAACTTCTCAGTATGGATGTAGGCATCAACTGGCAGGGGAAGATGCATTTCTAAGGCAACCACTGATGTGGCTTGCAATGCTCCTGTCCATTAGGTACATACTCAGGCATCTACAGGTAAGACTCTTCAGACTGTTCTAGCGTTGAAAGAGACATTGAATTCCCTATTTTTGGAAATGCACACTTGCTTCCAAGATGATGAAGATTAGCTAAATAATAAATTCTAATTGTTAATTTTATTCTTTATGTTGTAATAGATTCACCTGAAAACTGCATGGGGACATTGAAACTGAGGTAAGATTCACATTAATAAAGCAAATATAATACCTATAGAGATTAGTCTTCAAAGCTTATTGCTAATAATGCTGATAGTTTGGGGTTGTAAAGTAATTTGTTACTTTTTGTAGCTTAGGTATATGTGGGGGAACTTGCTTAAACACAGCATTGCATACCAAGCTATTCCCTGAGACATGTCCCTGTGTCGTTTCATTTTGTCACCTTGAAATGAGCTACTTGTCTTGCTGCTTCTTCCTGAAGATTCAGTCCCCCTTTATATTCCAGTGTTCTACCCCAAATTATTAGTATTCATTTAAGTTAATTTTCCCTGTAATTTTTTACAACGGTTATTAGTAAAGTATGCTGCCAACATTTGGTATAGAAAGTGGAAATTTGAAAGAAATAAAAATAAATTCTGCTGTGCAGTGGTAGCATGTGCCTTTAATACCAGTCCTCAGGAGTTCGAAGAAAGCGTATTTCTGTGAGTTTGAGACCACCCTGTTCTACAAAACAAGTTCCAGGATAGACAGACCTACACAGAGAAATCCTGTCTCAAATATCCCAAAAACAAATAAACAAAAAAACAGTTGATTACCCTGTTCTTCATGCAAGTGCTAGTCTATCTCACAGTGCTGATGAAATGCAACATGTTGGTAATGTTGGCAAACATTCTTCTATAGGAAATGTGGTCTAGAATATTTTGAGGAAATCTTTCCAGTCCTTTTCAGAAACCCCAAGACAGCTACTGGGCAATACTATCCCCATCCATCCAAACAGTCTGGTCCATGCAGAAAAGAGAATATTGGAAATAATGTTTCCATCTGGTATTAGGTTTCCATTGTTATAATAAAACACCCAAGACAGGTCAACTTACAAAGAAGCAAGATTTACCTTGATTTAACGTTTTAGAAATTCTAATCAATGATTATTTAACTACATTGCTGTGCACTTGATGGCATAATGCAACATAATATGATCTTGCTGTATAGAAATGCTATTTACTCCCATGTTGGCCAAAGTAAGGAGAGAGATGGGAAGGACCAACATCCCAATATTACCTTTAAAGGTTTGCTTGAATTACCTAATTATCCCCCACTCAGCTTTCCTTTAATGATTGCACCATTTTCCAAAAGTACCACATGATGTGATAAGGCCTTTAATACATGGGCCTTAGTTGGAATTTTCACATCAAAAATATGAACTTTCCTAGCTTCCACAACATTAGACACTGTAGTCCAAGTTTCTTAGTGCATCTTTGACTTCAACTCATCTCCAACCTAACATGTCTTATTATTCCCATGACTTTCTCCTCTGTGTCACTATTATGCAATATACATTCTCATCATTGTACCAGACATGTGTTGAATATCTTTCTAGACTGCAAATTTATTGAATATTGGCCTGAATTTGGTTCCATATCCAAAAGTATTACCATAAAATTTTTGAAAAAATAAAGATAAGTTGAGTGAATTCTCTAGCTCATACCCATATACCCCAATGTGCCTCTGAATTTGTCATTTTAACATATTTATATTGACATATTTGTTTATGCATCTGCTGATCTGCCATTCCATCCATCAATCCATCCAATGGCTTTCATGCATATCAAAGTAAGTCTTAGACCATAAGCTTCACCTGAGACACAAAAATAACTGGAATTCAATATTTGTTTAGGATTCTTTTTGTTTGAGGTAAAATCACATATATTAAAACCCATAAATCTTAAACATGCCATATGATGGTTTCTGACTAATGCACTCACCTGTGCAAATCAATCTATGATACAGAATATTGTCACCAAAGAAATTTCCCTCCTGCCACTTCCCATCACCTTCAGAGAAAAGTGTTCTTCTGCTTCCCTATCAGAAATAAATGTACACACAGTTCCCAAATATCATACATCATGAAGAATCTACTTATCTTTGCTTTTTTCATTGAATCTCATTTTCCTGGAATATCTGTGTGTTTCATGTCACATGTACCAGCCCATTCTACTTTACCAGAGTAATAGCATGATCTTGTATGTATATGCCACATAGGGTGTTCATTCTTCTACTTGATGGGGACTTGTATTATTTCAGTTTATAGACAATTTAAATGAAACAGACTTGAACTTTATTAGAAAATGTTTTTCACAGCTACATGTTTTCTTTTAAAATTTCTTTCTTATAAATAACCGAGAATGACATTACTGGTCATATGTGTAGATAAATGTTAAGATTTAAATTTAATTCAAAGGGTTCTACAATTTGAGGATCGTATAAGAGAGTTCTTTGTTTTGTTTTCCATAGTTTTGTATTTCAAGCCTTTTCTCAATTTGGTTATTTATAATGACCGCACTCCAATATTTTTATAGCTTTATACCTTAAAGAATAATGCTAATCAATTTGTTATCTAATTCATGCATCCTTATTTATTAGATATCTCTCAACATTTTTACTAAGATGGTTTATTCACTGTTATTATTAAACAAATAGGAGATATAACCTCAAAACTGAGCCTTATACCCAACTATTACAGTTCTTTCCTAACATCTCAGCCTATGATGAACAAAGCAGGAAGCCTAAAAATTCAAGTTCAGCTTAGACTACATAGAGATGCCTTGTCTCACCAAATAAAGCCAAAAGCAAGTCTTTGACAGCTATATGCTTTATAAGTATTTTCAGCCTATAAATTTGATTCATTTCCTTGGTATCTTCTAATGAGAAAAATATTTAATTTACTATCTTCAGTATTACAATTGTCTTCTGTATGCTACTTAGGAAAATTTTAGATCAAATTCACACTACCAAGAATGTTTATACTAACAGCAAAATAGACATTAAAGGAAATTGTTCTGTTCTATAATGATAGGACTGTCATTCATCAGGAATTCTTAGCAATGGTAAACAATTATATGCATGCATCAGTAAAGACCCAACCACATGAAATGATGTGACAGAACTCAAAGAACAGAATCTAAGGCACTTGCTTGTATTGGCAGGTTGACAATCAGACAGCTGAAGAGTCACCAAGCACAAGGAAGGAGGAACACCGTGAAACAATCCGATCCACCAGAAAGCTTTAACACTTCTGCACAGCAATATACATCATTCTGTTCCATTATTCTACAAAACAACTCTCAAGAAATCAAGTTTGTCGCAGTTATACTGGTCTAAAATTAGAAGTCAATAGATAAGACAACAGAAATGTTTGTGGATCTGGAGAACTTAAATAATACACTTTTTGTATTTATTTATTTATTTATTGTTTCTTACATCCCAACGAACATTTCCCCTCCCTCCTCCTCCCAATTCCATGCATCCCAACTGAACTGGCTGTCTTCTGTTACCAAATTAGTGTTTAGCCCAATTGTCACCAGAAAGGCATCATCCAGCAACAGATGGAAAAGATGCAGAGCCAAACATTAGGCAGAGTTAGGAAAATAGTACAGGAGGGGAGAAGGGATCGCATAGGGGCTCACAGAGGCGAACTGACAATCAAGGAGTCTGCATGGGTCTGACCTAGGCCCTATGCACATATGTCTACAGCTGTGCAGCTTGGCCCCCTTGAGGGACTCCCAGCAGCTGGAGCAGGGCTGGCTCTGATTCTTTTACTTGCTTTTAGGACCATATCCCTCTTAATGTGTCGCCATGAGGAGGTGTTTAGTCTTACTGCAAGTTGGTATGCCATGTTTTGCTGACACTCACGGGAGACCCACCCTTTCCTAAACAGAAACAGAGGAGGAGTGGATGAGGAATGAGAACAGAGATGGGGTGTAGGGGAGGATCTTGGAGGAGAAGAGGGAGAAGAAATTTTTAAATAAATAAACTTATTTTTTAAATAAAAATAACAATATTTATTTTACTTAACAACAATTTTAAATGTGCTTCATAAATTATGCCCCAAAATAGAATATGTGTGTTGGTCTAGACTTAGTGGCACATACCTTTTTTTCTGAGCACTCAGGACAGTAGAATAGACCACCCTGGTCTCCATAGTGAGTTCCAGGCCAGTCAGGATTACATCAGGAGACTCTTATCTCAAAAAAACACAGCAAAATTGTTGAACAATGAGACGGGATGGGCACGTTCAGGGTGGTATGGCTGTAGATATAAAATTTCTATAAAATGGGTTACATGCCATAACAACGTAAAATGTATTTGAGGAATAAAAAGTTAGTTAAACATAAGAAATTAATCGGCATAATGTGTAACATTAAAATAAAAGAACAAGCTCCATAAGATTATTTCAAAAGATACAGAAAAAATGACAAAAATACTACATGCTTTCATTAAAAACACTCAACAAGCTAGAAAAAAAATGACCAGAAAATTATTCTGATAAAAAGCATTGATTTCCCCATGACAAAATAGATATAATTGTTACTGGTTAAAATTTGAATGACTCCTTAGAATAATAAGTAGCCACCTGTTTTAGTCAATTTATTGGCACTGAGTCTAGATCATAGCAAGTATATAATACAGAATGGGGAAAATATGCATGCAAATTATAAAGCATGAAATAAACTAAATTTATTCATAGTACTCTACATATATGTGAATTCCATATTTTCCCTAAAACATTTTATTCCAAGAGAAAAAATGTCAACTTTGAATGTGTATAGATTTTTTATTTTACTGCAGTAGAGTGTTATTATGTTTGATGAGAAGTCCAGAGAGTATTTGAAGTTTATTATGTATGTAAAATGTGTACACTATGATATTTTATCTAGGGGTCTTAATCTATGGATTTTGATTTTAATTGGGGTCTCCCACATAACAAAGGACAACTTTCTTCCTATTCATAAACAGCATTATATTTTACACAGAAAATTATAATGAACCCACAAGTAAGTATTAGAACAAGTGAAGTCCATCCAAGAATACTGAAAAAAAAATAGCTAAGCAAAATCAAGTGTTTTCTTTGTATTAGCAATTAAAAACTCCAAAGCAAAATCATAAATTTATTTCACCTACAAGATATCAAAAAGAATTAAAACCTGCAAACAAAGCTATCAAAAGGTGTTCAATCTGTAAACAATCTGGATAAATGGGTAGGTATTCCATGTTCGTGTAATAAAACAACTGGTTCACAATCCTCTCTAGCAGCTTACAGAATCCAAGTCATATTTTTGTAGAAGTTAATAAGGAGTTTCAAAACTTTATATTGAAATGAAAATGGCAAAAACGAGTCAACATAATTTTCACAAGAAGATTAAAGTTGAAGTAGCCATGTTCCTCTTAATAAAAATCACCCAAAAGCATGACGTTGATTGAAGAATAGATCTTGACTTCATACGATGGAACTGATGGTCAAAAGCAAACTCTCACATTGAGTTTTTAATGACTGCTCAGGCAATTTAACAGGGAAATATGTCTTCAGTGGTACAGAAATAACTGAAATACCCACATGAAAAAAAATGAAGTTGAGTAGAAATTCCAAGTCACCTTTGACAATTAACTGAAAATAGTCATACAAAATAGGTCATATATATGAGTGCAAGAGAGACAGACATGCAACCAACAGAGCAAAGTAAAAGAAATAAATCTGTATTTGACAAAGGAGTTTTCGTTAGCACAGTAAAAGAACAATTGGACGAAACAAAAACTAGATTGGCCTCTATCAAATTAGCAAGAGCAAGTTGTAGCTGCAGGCATACAAATTTCCAGGGCTTGGGGGACGCTGCTCAGATATGGGACCGCTGGGCCTTGGTTGGGAGAAATCTATCCAGAAATTGGCAAACTTCAGATACAGAGAGACTTCTGGAAGGCCATGAAGCAAACAGAGATAGAAGAGGCTTCCTGAAGTCCATTTCTGGTCATGGTGGTAATCCACAGCCTGCACTCCCCTTTACACAAACAAAGCACCATCCCCACACAGATTCGGGAGTTTTCTCTTTTGACTTTTTTATATCTAAGAACTTCATATATGAAAAGAATACACACATATATACATATCCTATACATATTAGATATAGATATAGATTAGATATAGATATATCCTAATTAGACCAATCTATGTTGCCTATATGCACATGGGGCTAGGCTAACTACTTGGATATTGGAAACCAAACGGAAACTAATTTTTTATCCTCCTTCAGTAATTTTTGGCAATAACTACTTCAGCAGAGGTGGGCCTATGTGATTCCTTCTTCCACCTATGCCAACTGTTGCCTAAAATCATCTCCTGCAGGTCTGACCACAGCTATTGAGAGTTCATTGGTGCAATAACCCCTTTCCTGTCCTGAAGACACTGTTTCAGTAATATCACTCTTATAGCCATGCCACACTCTTACCACTCTTACGGTTTCTGTGGTCCCCTGTCCACTGTGTTCCCTGATCCTTACTCTAGAGCTTATGGTACAGATGTGCAGTTTGGGAATGGGTACTCCACAGTTACTTAGTCTCTCCACTTTGGCAAGCTGTAATAGCTCTTGTCTTATGCAAAAAGACATTTCCTTGATTAGTGTGAGAGATGCACCAAAATGTGGATATAAAGGTAAGTATTCAGAAGACCCTCATAATCTCTGAAGTGATTTAAACTAAAGCTGTTTTTATTAATTGTCTGGTAATTTCCATTTCAGAAACACCTTCATTTGTAAAGAATTATCTGGTCTCCGTCGGCTTCTTTTCCTCCAAGATACAGAACTATATTTAGCACCACTAACTTAACTAGAGTCAAGTCCCCTGGAAAGACACCCTCTTCGTTTATTATTTCAGTTAAATGTCATTACTGTGCTTTTGCTCCTGAAGGAGGTTTGTGGTGGGTATAGAGTATGGGTTGGAATTAACTCATTTTTCAAGACTATTTATTTACTCACTGTCCCTCTATCTGATGGAAAGTCAATGCTGAGTATAATGAGTCTTCCCTCACATTCAACATGCTTTCTATTTCTCCTTTGATTTGTAGACTTCAGCTCTGAAAACTGTTATACTTTTACTGTTTCTCCCGACTGGACTTTACTCTTGTATTGAACTTACAATTTTGTAAATTTACAAATATTTGCATATTTTGACCCATGATTTTATGATGCTTAATTGATATTTTTCTGCACTTCAATATGTTATGCCTTTCAATCATATCCTAAAAGTCTGTAGTACACTAATCATTTGGGAGGCTTTTCAATTTTCTGCCATTTTCATAGTTCCTTTTCTAATTTTGCTTGATGACTTCTTTTGTTTGACACTTGAGTTTTTGTCTTAAACCAGATTGAAACACATTTTGTCCCCTTAGCAACTGATTCCTCTAGAAAGGTCACTGAAACAGAAACACGAGTACACAAGTGTTTGTGCTTGTAAATTATTATTTACATGGCTACTAAATGTTATTCAAATAATTACAAGTAAAAGAAGCACAATCTTCAAGTGTTCATTATTTCACACAAACATTACTTGAAACATAGCAATAGCTTTATCAACCAAATCAATCTTCAAAATTGAGTGTTGAGTCATGACAAATGCTTTATCAGTAGAAGAAACTTGATCAGGAGAATATCTGAAGGATATCTAAAGACGAGTGTGATATTACTACTGTAAGATTGTTCATGATATTGATAATCGAATTTATAACATAAAAATATGAGTCTCTTTTATTAAGTTCAAAGAATTAAAAATATAATTATGTCACCTCCTCTTCCTTGTCCTTACTTCAACCTTTCCTATGCCCCAAATATTTTCATTCCCATACTCCCATCTTCTCATTCCCCTGCTCCCATCTTCCCTTTCCCATAACCCATCTTCCCATTTTCGTATCACCGTAGTCACATTCCCATGGCCCTGGCCCAAATCTTCCCATTCCCATGCAACCCTCTCATTTAATCTCAGAGTAGTGTTCCCCTTTTAATTATTATTACCTAAATATGCATACAAATATATGTACACACATATATACACATACTATTGATTCCATTTATCATGCTTCTTGTAGACAGGATTCCAAGGCTGACCAATTAGGAGAATCATGTCTAGAAGAGGATGATTCTCCCTCCCTCAGCAGTTGCTAGATGCAAGCTGTTTCGTGTCTTCTGGTGGGACTCCATGAGATTTCCTCCTTGAAATTGATGTCTTTCAAGACCATGATCTGGAGAGAACTTGTGAGTTTGAGAATATTCTATCTTGCTGCTATAAAATAAAATAATTTTGATTTCATGCCTATATATATTTTTCCTT